TAGGACCCTCCAAGAGCACCAGGGTCATTTGAGGCAGGTCTTGGAGAAGCTGAGAGAGGCTAACTTCAAGATCAACGCAAAGAAGTCTGAGTGAGCCAAGACAAGTTTTGTACTTGGGCCGCGTTTTATACGGAGATGGCATTAAGCTTGAGGACAGCAAGATAGCGGCGATTAGAGATTGGTCGACGCCCCGCACATTGACTGAGTTGCAATCATTCCTAGGCCTAGCTAATTACTATAGGATGTTCGTGAGGAACTTCCCGACTATCACCGCTCCCCTTCGCAGGTTGCTCAAGAAAGAGGCGATCTGGCAATGGGACAAAGACTGTACGTCTGCGCTAAAGAAGTTGAAGTGCGCGTTGATAGAGTACCCTGTCCTTAAAGTAGCAGATCCGTCCTTGCCATTTGTCGTCACCACGAACGCGAGTTAGTACGGGATAGGCGCCTTGTTACAGCAAGACGACGACAATGGCTACAGACCCGCAAAGTTTATGCCAGCGAGGATGTCGTCAGAGAAGGTAGCTATCTCGACATACGAGAGAGAACTCTATGCTCTCAGGCAGGCTTTATAGCACTGGAAGCATTACCTGCTTAGGAGGCACTTCAAAGTGTATTCAGACCACGAGACTCTTAGGTGGTTGAAGACAAAGGCCAAGATGACACTTGAGTTGACTAGGTGGGCCACTGAGATAGACCAGTACGACTTTGAGCTCACGCCTGTCAAAGGCAAGTACAATGTAGTTGTGGATGCTCTAAGTAGGAGGTCAGACTACTTTGGAGCTATAGTTCACTATCTGGACATAGGGAGTGACCTACGAGAGAAAGTTAGACAGGTGTATGTGCAGGACCCTATTCATAATGACCTCCTCAAGAGAGTCAAGGAGGCCCCAAAGACTGAACCAGACTACCGCACTACAGAGAGACTGTTGTTTGCGAAGACTAACGTAGGAGACCGTCTGTGGGTCCCTAGCAGCAAGGAGATTCGTAGTTTGATCCTAGGGAAATGCCACGACACAGAGGGACATTTGCATTGGCAAAAGACTCTAGCCAATCTGACTGCATAGAGTATGTCCGCAGTTGCCAGAGAAACAAGAGTACTACGCGTGCTCCTCTAGGTCTTCTCAGACCCTTGCCTATTCCTAATCATCCTCGAGATTCAGTGTCCATTGACTTTATGGACGCCGGTGTCGAGCGCACGATCCCCGCAAGCGAGGGGACCTTCCCGACCGCGTCGCACAGGATTCGGCAGGACTTTAGTCGTAGAGCGTTGCCGCTCCGGCCGAGTGCGCCAGCCATACCTCTCGCGAACCCCTACGACAGGATAGGTTCATGCGAGGTACAACTTACCTCCACCTGCGGGAGTTGTCACCATCCCTTAGGTGGGCATATCCCCGCCGAGCTACCAGTCCACAATACGAAAGTTTTCACATGCAATTGCAGAGGTGGACCAGGCGAGGGTGTTTTCTCGTACGCTGTAGCACAGGCGGTACGCGCGGTTCCACGCCTTTATCGGACCCGTACGCAAGCCGATGCACTGGGGGGCTGAAGTCCCAAGCGCGACTCGTCGTCGGTCGACTAGAACGCATCCTTCTTACCACCTGTTACACCACGCCAGAACAAAAGTCAAATCAATCACACAAAACAAAAACACTCCTAGTCCCTTTAGTAACCAACCCATAACCCTCTGATACGAAAATCGGTTAGGTATCGCGCGCGTGTCTTAATATAAAACTGCGTGGATTCAAGGCTTTCTCATATCGACTAAGCCATGCAAGCATTCGCAAGCGGCCACAATGATAGCGTACTATGTAGTACCCATAATCGTGTGGTCCTCGATGGTCTCGAGGGTTGCGTTCGACACTCGAGTGTTGGCTGACACGCGCCTTGAGGGGTAAATCTCTCGAAGCTAGACAACCGCCAAGGCGGTTGAGAACCACACCCTCTTTTGCACCCTGCAGAGAGTGGGTGGTACACAGGTTTCGGCCTATGGTGGCAGTCAACCCTTATGGCCATGGAGACAAGCTCCATCATCCAGGGCTTGGAGAGAAGTCGAGGAGTTTGACTTTGACGGTTGCCACGGGCTTCAACATCCAACTATAAAAATTAACAAGCAAAATCACTCAATAAATAAACAGGCATCCCAACACCCATATTAATTCAAAACTCGAGATAAATAAAAGAGGGGAAAATAAACACATCAGGTATGCAGATCGTACGACACATGGTTGTCATTCCCAATGCCTCCAAAGCAAGACTCGTATACCAAGCTCCAAGATATTAACCTGCATAAACACATGCACATACGAAAACCACATTGCCATGCACCAATGTGGTCAACTTTGTAACTCACACCACGCCTCACACACTCAAACCTCAACCATTGTCCAACTTTCCATAAAAACCCATCACTTCTTTATAATGACTATTAAAAGAAGTCGGATTAAAACTTTCAAAGAAACATATCAAATATCATGGCTAAGGCATCAAGTTCAGGTACAGGTGTAAGCAAAGTTGTAGGTGATCCGACAAGTCGGCAATCAACCAACCGACCTGTTATCAAAGATAACAGAAGATGATCCTCATAGGACCGAGCTGGACTAGTCAGATCTTGAATAAAAAACGATCAAGAAGGACCTGTTATACAACACAGGTCAAATCTCAAATTCTTGAACTTCAAGTGTATGGAGAATAAATCCCCATATCACATCTTACTCAAAGTCTCGTAAGACTAGATTTTAAGTCTCTCTCTCCAATGAACCCCGAAAAATAAGGGAAATTTTGGTAGCATTTCCCCTATACGGGGTGAATTGCCAAGAATTCTCTTACCAGAATATAATCTCTTTTCAAAACTAGGAAAATTTCGACAGCGCTTTCCGTAGGAAA